GACATTACCTATCCCAACTGCCTAGTCCCAAAGAACTGACTTAGAGGCTGAATATGAATTATAAATGTTTTACTGATAGCTTATGCTTGTTATCAGTTCAATCTTACATTTAAATTAACCCACTTCTATTAATCTATGTAATGCCATGTGACTTGTGGCTCTACCTGTCTTCTAGCATGTCTTGCTTCCTGGGTAGCTGGCTGGCATCTCACCTGACCCCACTCTCCTTCATCCTATCATTCTCAGTTTCTCTTTCCTATGTAACTTGCTGCCCAGCTACCTGCCTGTCAGCTTTTTATTAACCAATGTGAGTAATACATATTAATAGTGTAGAAAAGGATTGCTCCACAGCAAACACCATTGTAGATCAGAGGATTTGAGGCTGGCTTCATGTTTCCATTTCTCTTTTGATAGTGTGCAAAGTACATTCTTGTAACAAAGATGCTGGAAAGTAGGGATGAAAACTCTTTGTAGTCACCAGCCAAGCATTTCCATGTTCAGTGAGTTATGAAGGTGTTGTCTTCAGCAACAGTACCTTGTCATCAGTTTGTAAAGAGCAACCTATAGCCTGTGTTGTTTGGAGCTCCCATGAGATCTCTTTGGCCAACAACTCAATGAGGTGTAAACTAATCTTAGTAATAGAAAATTCCTTTGGTGACAAGAGATGGCCATTTGTGATACCATATCCCCCATTATTACTTTATATTGTTTAGATGGTCCTTTCACACACACACACACACACACACACACACACACACACACACACACACACGCACACATATATGTATATATACATACATACATATATATCTGTGTGTATTCATTCATATAAATAAAGAAGTTACTACTGTATTAGGTTGCATATGTTCCCTCAAATGTCCCTTAATTTTAGTTGTATCTCCTCATAGTCCCTCCTCCCAGTCTCTCTCCTTTCACCATCCCCACTTGATCTTACCATTCCAGCACTTAACTATTCATCCATTACTTGCCCTCTATGTTTAGATTTTTTTTTTATAATTATTACATGCTGTAGGCACTTCCTTCCATGATTCAGACTATTTGGTGTTCTGTATGCTTCTTTTACTTTGATAGGCATCTCCTTCTTTAGGTTAGATAATTTTTTTGTACGATTTTGTTGAAAATATTTTCTGTGCCTTTGATCTGGGTTTTCATCTTCTTCCTCTATTCTTATTATTACACTTGTTCTTTTTGTAGTTTCCCAGATATCCTGAATGTTTTGTGATGGGTATTTTTTTTTTATAATTCACAATCTACTTGCTTTTATTTTTTAATTAATGACATTAATTTTACAAGCTAACAGTTTCTGTTGCTTGCTGTGCTTCCTACATGCCATGTTGATGAAGTAATGCGCAAGTACGTACAGTTTTTAATGTTTTCAGTCTTGATTATTAAAATCATTAACATCACAAAACTGTGGCAGTTTTAACTTTGCAAATACATGCTTTGATCTCTTTATTTTCTTTTTTCTTTTCTTTTTTTTTTTTATTTTGCAATACAATTCAGTTCTATATATCAGCCACAGATTCCCTTGTTCTCCACCCTCCCGCCCCCCTCACATTCCCCCCAGCCCATCCCCCATTCCCATCTCCTCCAGGGCAAAGCCTTCCCCGAAGACTGAGATCAACCTGGTAGACTCAGTCCAGGTAGGTCCAGTCCCCTCCTCCCAGGCCGAGCCAAGCAATCCTGCATAGGCCCCAGGTTTCAAACAGCCAACTCATGCACTGAGCAAGGACCTGGTCCCACTGCCTGGATGCCTCCCAAACAGATCAAGCCAATCAACTGTCTCAGTCATTTAGAGGGCCTGATCCAGTTGGTGACCCCTCAGCCATTGGTTCATAGTTCATGTGTTTCCATTTGTTTGGCTATTTGTCCCTGTGCTTTAACCAACCTTGGTCTCAACAATTCTCGCTCATATAAACCCTCCTCATTCTCGCTAATTGGACTCCCAGAGATCCACCCGGGGCCTAGCCATGGATCTCTGCATCCAGATCCCTCAGTAGTTGGATGAGGTTTCTAGCATGACAATTAGGGTGTTTGGCCATCCCATGTGGTGGGTATTTTTTAAATTTAAACTTTTCTTTGACAAATGTATCCATTTCTTCTATTTTGTCTTCAATGCCTTAGATTTTCTCGTCCATTTCTTGTATTGTACTCATGAAGCTCACATCTGAGGTTTCTGTTTGAGTTCCTAAGTTTTTCTTTGCAGATTTCCTTCAATTTGAGTTTTCTTGATTGATTTTATTTCTACTTTCAGGTCCTGAATGGCTTATTCATTTCCTTCCACTATTTGTGTTTTCATAGATTTCTTTATGATATTTACTCTTTTCCTCTTTAAGGAACTCTATCATCTTCATATATGCTATTTTAGGGTCAGTTTCTTATTCTGTATCTACGGTGGAATATTCAGGGCCTGTTGTAGTATGGTTACTGGGCTCTAGTGAAAAATACTGTCCTGGATGTTATTGACTGTGCTTTTAGGTTGGCATCTAGGCATCTGGGATTGGGCAACTTGTAATTCTACATGGTAATATCTGGTCTTGTCTTTGTTGGGTTCATGCTTCCTTCCTTATTTTTTGTTGCTCTATCTGGTACACAGGAGAGTGTGGTGGCTGTGTGTTGCCAAGTAGGAAATTCTTCTGGGATCCTGATAAGTGTGGCCACTGAGGATTCTAGGTAAAATGTTTCCAGACATAGAAAGCTAAAACTAAGAATGGGGATGGTCTAGGAGAGGGTCATAAGATGGTCCACAGGAGGGAAGGGAGCAGAGTTTTCCACAGGAGCTGCTTAGTTTGTCACCTGAGAATGGGGCCACTGAGTGAGGTCAGGCCACAGCAGAAGGTTCGATATAAAGCTGTGAATGAGACTGAGGAGTGGACTTGGGAGAATGGAGGGAGAGATGAAGATCTGCAGCTAGCCTATTTGCTTTCCTGGTAAGAGTGGCCTGCAGGTGCTTAGGGAGTGTCTTCTGGATTTCAGGATTTGCTAGGACAAAACAGTGAGTAGGCAGAATGAACTTTGGAATTTAAGACTTGTGTTATCCATATGAAACAAGGGCATTTGATGAAGGGAGACTGTAGCAGGTGTTCTACACAGAGCTGAGAAAGAGACTATGAGACTGGATTTGAACAAACAAATAGAAATGTGAAGATCTGCATTTAGCCTAACTGCTTCCATGCCCAGCTTGGTCTTTGGGTTCCTAGGGAATGCTTGATGGAGTTGAGGTGTGTAACAAATCAATGCATTGGTGTTGGGATGTTAGGAGGGGTCTGGAAGACCTACTAGGGATGTGGGTGGCTGAGGCAGGTGTTCTGCTACAGAGCTGGGGGTAACCCTGGGGAATTGTACTTAAAGGAATGAGGGAGAGGTGAAGATCTGTAGTTGGCTTACCTCCACCCTGGCCAGAATGGTCTTTGGTTTCACAATGAGGGCCTGTTGGAGTTTGATGTTGGGATAGTACAATGAATTGCAGCACTAAGGTTAGAAGATCTGTGGAATCCACTCTAGGTGTGTGTGGGGGTTGCCACAGATTTTCTGTGGCATAACTGGGCATGAGACTGAGGAATTGGATCTGGAGGAGCACAGTGAATGGTAAATGTCTACAATCAACCTATCTGCTTCCCTGGCAGGAGTCAAAAAATAATTTTTAATGAAAAATATTAAGGAGCATCAAGAACAGGAAAATTGTATTATTCAAAAGGAATTTGATCCCTTAATGGTATCATGCAGGAACAGAAAGTTTCCATATAAGTAGCAATACAGAAGACTCTTTTGTCTTCTGTAAAATCTTTTACTTTCTCATCATAAAATTCATTATTCCCCAGGAAGCTTGCTTACTAAGATGTCTCTGTTGCATGGTAGTGCAGTTTCCCATGAGTTTTCTGTCCAACCATTCAACACATTTTTTTTCTGTTATTGCCATGGATTTTACCTTCCCATGAAATATTAAGTGAATCTGTGATAAAATATGTAATAAAAGTTTTCAGACAATAATACCTTTAGGCCTCCAGAAAAAGAGCTGGAATTCAAAGCAAATCCAAGACTGTGCTTTCTTGTGAGATTTCCTAGTTTTAACCCAGTTGTGGCAGTGCACAGTTGTAATTTCAGAATACGGGTATCTGAAGCAGGAAGACTGTGAATGTGATGTCCATCTGAGTTACAGCATGAGGTAAAACTTGAAACAAACTAATATCTCCCAGAAGTATCCCCAAGTAATAATTATTGAGATCAGTCTCATGAAAGTGTAAAACTCTATTATTCTCATTTACCCATAGGATATAGTATTACATGATGTAAACATTAACTTCTCTCAAATTCTTCGTACACACTGCCTTCTTTCCTGTAGATCATTGTCTAGAATTATTCTTACAAGTCTCTTTGAATATCACAGGGCAGGTTGGGTATGGTGGTGCACACCTTTAATGCCAGCACTTAGGTAGCAAAGGCATTTAGGTGGATCTCTGACCTCTTTGAGCTTGAGGTCAGTCCGGTCTCCAGAGCAATTTCCATCCCACCAGACAGGGCTCCATTGTGAGATCATCTCTCCAGAAAATACATCCCAAGTATATTTAGTAGGTGTGTTGTCACACACACGTGGACGCATCACTACAGAGATGGAAGCAGGAGGATCAGCCGCTCAATGAATTCGTCCACTAGGAAGTAAGTTTGAGAACAGCATCGATTTTTATGAGACCTTGTCTCTAATATCCTCTCCTCCCTAAAAGAAATTCCAGCCTCTGTCTTTTAGGGCTATAGATCAGCCACATTGCAAGCCCACTCAATATACAAATGCTGTGTGGGACTCCTGTCCTCTCAACATTCCCTGTACCTTTCCTCAACCCTTTTCAATGCTTTCTCATTTTCATGTTGCCATTTCTGTCTTCACATCCCCTTTTAATCCTCCCTCCATAGCTCCCATCTCAGCATCAGTTGTCTCAGAGCTTTCTATTGATTACCTTCATTTTTGTTTCTTCTTCTTTTAGGACACAAAGAGCTCCATAAAGAAGATCTGTGACTTCCTAGGGAAGAAATTAGAGCCAGATGAGCTGGATATGGTCCTCAAGTACAGCTCCTTCCAAACCATGAAAGAAAATATCATGTCCAATTATAGTCTGGTCCCTGAAGATAAGGCTTCTAGTGATTTGGTTCTCTTGAGAAAAGGTGAAGAAATTTTTGAGCTTTAAATTATGTCAGAACATATGGAGGCCTTGTTGTTCTAGTGAGACAGGTTTTCCCCATGTAGCTTTGTGCCTTTCCTGGATCTCACTCTGTAGACCAGGCTGGCCTTGAACTTACAAAGATTCACCTGCCTCTGCCTCCCAAGTACTGGGATTAAAGGCGTGCACCACCACCGGGTTGAAGAGCTACTCTTTACCTGGGAGACTCAATCATCTGGCTAGTTGGGATGAATCTGGTTTAAGCTTCAAGCAATAATTATCTACAAACAATTTTGGTCATTATGATTCCATATTATATACTGCATGAACTACAGACCAGAGAGATGGTCATTCCCATTCATCCACTGTTTAGTTGACAGAACTTTTATAAAGACATTGTCACAATCAAGACATGAAAAAAGAAATGTCTTCTGACAAACTTCAAAGGTTTTGGACCTCATTACTTCACAGTGGATGTTTTCTAAACAGAGTGCTTGAGCCATGAATCATTTTTTACTGGTGTTCTTAGAAGGCATTAATCTGAGACATATAGGAAAGAAGACCTAGAGAGAAGCCCACTATCTGCAGGCCAATAAAAACCATGGAAGACTGGACAAGAACCTTTTGTGAGAACTGCAACCTCTAGAACTATGAGGATGTTCCTTTCCAACAAGAGTTAAGCCACCAAGAATTAGGGTTATCTTGTTCCCTGACACGCCAGAGTTTGAGGAGATTTTAGAAAGAACAAGTGAAGAGAAATATAGGCTTAGAAGATGCACTTCTCCCATCTGGACTGATTCAATCCAAGTGTGCAGTCATATTGAATTTACTGAGATTCTGTTAGCTCAGCATCCAGTCTGGCTGATCAAGAGCCAGGTGTGCTGTGGGAAAACAATAAAGAAACTTGTTCTAATAATGAAGAAAATAACAAAGCTGCGAGTAGCAATGGATACTGATAGATTCCCATCTGAGCAGATAACACTCTTATAGTCATATCAATTAATGGCATATTATTTGAATATGGTGTATCAATAATTACTATTTAATTCGGAACAGCATATATTTTCTTTAATAATACCACTGGGAATTTAAAGTTAACTTATATGATACATAAGGAATACAAAGTAATAAGGAAAACCATGATGTCTACTGTCAGTATTTTTGGCTTAAAGTACACATCCATCATCATCATGCTGGGTAACATCTCAAGGCTAATTTCCCCTCATCAGCAAAATGGAAACAAGGCCAGTACCTTCCTCACTCATTCATGAATGCTTTCAACAATTCCATACTGAGTATGGATGTGTCCATACTGAGTATCAATGTGTCTGATATGATTTGATGAATGAAGCCTTTGGTGATGAAAGAAACATTTTACATTTTAAATATATTAGATACATGTTTCAGGCTTCTTTACAAAAAGGAAATTCATCAAAGTGTCACAGTTATGAAATAAAAGACTGCAAGGATGGGCCTGCAGAGTTCTACATGGAGGGAAGTTAGAAAGAGGTGGTCACAGTGGCATAAACTAGGAAACCAAAGAACAGGAAGTGAGTATATGGAAGACATCAGCACTCTAGAAAGAAGGAACACACAGTTCAATGAGAGCAATTGCACAATTTGTCATCTCTAACGTCAAAACTAAAGACATACAAAATGGAGTGATGAGAACCAAAGTCTGGTAAAAAGATAAGGTAAAATGATCATGCAGGTCTTGATGCATCACCAGACATCATGCTGACTGAAAACAGAAATCTTGGGATGTTCCCAGCTGGCAGTATCTGGGTCTACTGCATCTGATGAAAGCATCAAGATGATTGGCATGTAGCTCACAACAGTGTGCATCTCCAGCTCAAGGGGATCTGATGCCTCAAAGCTCTACAGGAAACTGCATTCATGTGCATCTACACACATATAATTAAACTTAATTTTAAAAGAGCTTTTAAAAGTTGCTTGCATGTTTTGCAGAACTTTTATAAGTAAACACTAAAATTTAAAAAGAAGAATTGAAACCTGTTTGGATAATTGATGTATGAAACTGTTGGATTGGGCAGAGTGATGGAAGCAGGTATAGTGGGAAGCAGGAAAAATATCAAATTCTAAAAGGTAGAGGTAGTGTGGAAGTTATTAGAGTGTGTAGCTGATATGATGAGATAGGAGAAGAGGGGACATTATTGCCACAGAGGTAGAAGACTGATGTAAATTATGTCAAGGGAATAAGACGTGTTCTCCAGGAAGTCACTGGTACTTCCACTTTATTAACTGTGTGGGCCTTGTCAAGTAGATGGTAAGAGCATGTGAAGGAAGGACTGAGATCAGTGTTGAGATCATCATTAACCCATCTATGTGTCTGCTTCACATTTTCCAGGCATGACTGGTGACTGGAAGAATCACTTTACAGTAGCCCAAGCTGAAGCCTTTGATAAAGTATTCCAGGAGAAAATGGCTGGTTTCCCTCCAGGGTTGTTTCCATGGGAATAAATTCTTAAAACTTAAAAAAATATATGGAGAGTGGTGTTTATTTTCCTGTTTTTGTACAGAATAAATCCTGTTATTGAATTGCAGAGTTTTGTTTTTTTAGGTATTAAGTGATAGAATTATTAGTAGTGGTAATAGTAGTGGAGGTAGTTGAATTGTGAGTGTGTGTGTGTGTGTGTGTGTGTGTGTGTGTGTGTGTGTGTGTCCATATTTCTGTGTACAGTTCCTTCGAGGTCAGAAGAGTGCTTGGTTCCCAAGCAGTTCCAGTTACATGTTCTGTAAGCCCCCTGCTTTGTGTCTTGGAACTGAAGTCAGGTCCTCTACAAGGGCAGTACAGTGCTCTTGACCTCAGCGTCATCTCTCCAGCTCTGAATCTTGGAGAGATGATTCAACAAATATTTCCTTTTTTTATTAGTGGTTTGTTATACATTATAAGTTAACTCCAATATGCTTCATGGAATCTCATATTAAAGCAATCCTTGTAACATTTTAAACATAAAAAACTACAAGAAACTTTAAGTAATTTTTATTCTGGGACATTTGTTCAAAAGAAATAAAAATGTTTTTATAGAGACTTTGAAACTTCATTCAAATAGCCTAAGGTGTAGTAAGACCTTTATAAACTTACATTCCTACTCAGTATTTTATACTTGTATTTCACTTTTTCATTTTTTTGTAATTTTAGTGGGTGTATAAAATAATGGGTTACATTAGGAAACTTTGAAACAGACATGAGCATCAAGTAATTTACTCAGTATTTCTTCTCTACTGTCAAGTCCTGTCCTTTTTCTCCTGTTAGTACTTTCTGCTCCCACACGGTCCCCTCTGTTTGAATGTCATAGAGACACACTTATATTTAAATTTAGATGTGCAGACTGGAGAAGAATGCATTATTCTCTTTACTTTTATGGTTAAGTGGGAGGTTTCTCTGATAGACATGATGGAGAACACAGCCAGGGGCACCTGGAAGAGTCCAGAGCAGGGAATCGTAGACTGAACATCATGGCCAGTAGAATAGGCCAGGCCATGGGGTGGGGAGCAAGAAAGCAGGATCAACATAGAGCAACCGAGAGAGAGAGAGGGAGAGAGAGAGAGAGAGAGAGAGAGAGAGAGAGAGAGAGAGAGAGAGAGAGAGAGAGAGAGAATGTTGCAAGAAGACCAAGAGAGTCAAGAAGTAGTATGTCATAATGTCATTTTTACACAGGAATCAGAAGCTGGGGAAGGGATGTCAATGATATGGAGAAGTTTGGGTAGAGCCTGGAATGAGAGGAGCTGAGAGGAGCCAGGATTCCAGATATCTGAGTGGACTCTGTAACAAATACTTTCCCAGAATGCTTGGAGGCCAGCATGCACTTTGTTTTGATAATAGGCACCACAGTTAGCCATTTGTCCTGAGGTTTTTTTTTTTGGCCTGACATGTCAGGCTGTTTGTTGGTGATGATGTAAACTATTCTGTAACTTCTCCTTAGCTGAAGTTAGGACATTGTCAGGACCTAGGCAGGTTAGAGTGCTGACCAAAGGTTGGGAGAAAGGAGAGGAATTCAGGCTTCCTAGGTTCAGTGTGACCATCTGGGGCTAGCAAAGTGCAGGTGGCTTTGGAAAAGTCTGAAAATTGTGGTTCAAGCCATAGGCTCTGCCTAGTTAGAAATTCCATCAGAAGCATCTAGTTTACATTGGTTTTCAGTAAGTCTAGGACTAGCTGGTCTTGATTTGTAGTAGTTTTCAGTCTTCAAGTGATTAGAAATCTGCTTGGACAGGTATAGACTAGAGAAGTAAGGTAAAGTTAAGGAGCTTAGCAGAAAACTGTTTTTCTTTGGTGTACCACTGAAACTTCTAGACCTGTGCTCCTGGTAGTTGGGATGTGGAAATAGTCTGAAGACTAGGGTTAGCAGAGAGGGGGAGAGAGAGAGAGAGAGAGAGAGAGAGAGAGAGAGAGAACACTTAAGTATAGACAGTAGGTAAGTGGGGAAGCTTAAGCTGTTGATTGAGAGGAGTACACACCTGGAGTCTGTTTGACCTGTGACAGGTGGATCCAAGTCATGACTCATTGAAGCTTACATTAATTTTTTTAAGTTTACAAAAAGAGATAAAATTTTTTGATGTTTTAGCATCTCCACTGATTATAATCTGTACTGAAATTCTCACTGTAGAGAAAGCAGTTAACAGGTGTCTGTAAAACAGCTAGAGTAGACTCATGCCTTAGAGTCATACCAAAAGCTGTGGTTTTGGGTTAAAGGCATGAACACTTTTTTCTCTATCCAGAGGGATGGATATATAAAGATTAGAATGAGATGTTTTCAGCACAATGAGAAGCACTTTTAAGTCTATACCTAGAAAACAACCAAAGGAATTTTAAATTTTGAGCTTATGACTATGATGATAGTAGTCAGTACTTTACCAGGGAGAGATGAACAGTTTATCAGAACTCCATTGATTAATGTTAAACGTCTTAACATTTAAAATCTTAAAATGTTAAAAGTAAAACAATAGCATAAAAAAGAGTGAAAAATATGAAACATTTCTCATTTTTTCCCAATATCCTTAGTGTGTATTGAATCACTTTCTGAGACCCTTACAACTTAAGCATTCATATCCTCAGACCTTTACAACTTGCATTTACACACTTAAAATTACTTCCTTAGACCGTCTTTCTCAGTTATGGTTTCTACTGCTGTGATGAGATACCATGGCCACATCAACTCTTCCAAAGGAAAGCATTTACAGTTTCAAATGTTTAGTCAAATATCATCAGAAGTGGGAAGCATGGAGGTGTGTAGGAAGATATGGTGCTGGAGAAGGAGCTGAGAATTCATCATCTTGATCTGCAGAGAACAGGAATTAAACTGTCTCCTATGCTGGGTATAGCTTGAGCATACACAAATAATACCTTTATCTAGCTTCAAAGTCATATCATGTTCCAAGCAGCTGTGTCCAAAATCCTTGAGGGAGAAATGTTATAATAGAAAGAAATGTGCAAGTTTAATAATAAAATGTTAAACTTAATCCAATAAGGAAAACAAAAAATCAAAATGTAAACAAAAATTGCAGTTGACTATAAGATAGCCATATTAACCATAAAAATGACAAGGCTCTAAAAACAAGCCTTCATAGTTAACTCATTCTTGGTGTCGCTTGGCCCAAATATGTTAAATCAATACAGTACATATTTTGTACATTAATTTCATAAATATAAAAATCCCTAAATCAACACACGAACATCTTTAGGGTCAAATATAATGTACATTACAACTGTAAATTTCACATGTTAAATTTTCATGTGTAAACCCACACTCACACATATATTCATACATAATTGAAAACTAAATATATCTATATGTATATAATATGTGTATAAATAAATATATAAACATTTTTAAAAACTAAAATTTTTGTTTGTTTTTTATGACAGGATTTCTCTGAGTAGGCCTGGCTGGTTTGGAACTTGCTCTGTAGACCAGGTTGTCCTTAGTCTCAGAGATCCACCTGCTTCTGCCTGTCAAGTTCTGTAACTTTAGGCATGTGCCACCACACCCAGCTAAATAAAATATTTATAGAAAAGATATATTTAGAGGAAACACTGAATGTCTTCTACCCTTATCCTTTTGTTCTTCTTGTTTCATGTGAGGGCATACTTATGGAGCTTACACTCCAATGTAGTAGTATGCCAAATCACTCTTCCTTGGGAACTACACACACACACACACACACACACACACACACAATTAAATATGAAATGTTTTTGACAAACACATAATGATCTCTCATGGAAAGAAGTGAGAGGGATCCTTTATACTTTAAATGTTTTATTTACACTGAATTACTTTTATTTGCATATCTGAGTGTGAGTATAAAGCATGGTGCATGAGTAGAAGTCTGAAGACCATTTGCAGGATCAGTTCTGTCCTTCCACTTAGGTTCAGGGGATCAAACTCTGATCCTCACAACTGGCCACAACCACCTTTACCAGCTGAGTGATGTTGCCTGTGAAATAGCATGGGGGGGCTATGCACTGTAGCATGGATGTCCTAATTGTTGTCACAACCCCAAAAGGGAATAATTATCCCTCCCAAGCAGTTAGAGCTGTTCAATATGGGACTTGTCCTAGAGACCATGTGCCCCATCGATGACAGACTTCTGCTGCTTGACCCTCTGCAGGTATCCACAGCTGCTGTGATTTGATATTTGCTACATCATGATGAACACATGAAGATATACTATGAGCACTTTTGGAAATTAATTGTTCAACAAATGGTTTCTTCTTGGTTTCCCTATAACCTCTGACCCTTAACCCATTTCTTACTAAACATCCATAACATAAATATTCTCTTTATCCGGAACCTTAAACTTAGGTCTGATCTTTCCATTATTCTTAGTATAGTAGTTCCTTTTCATTTTATATATTATAATTCGATATATTCTCTTCATTACATCATCTAAGGATTTTTTTTTTGTTAAATGATTTTTGAGACCAGGATAAACTATAAAACCCTGGCTGGTTGTCAAACCTCAATGAAGAGCAGGCTGCCCTTGAATTCATAGAGATCCTCCTGCCTCAACATTCTATGTATTGGGCGACCATACCTGGCTATTTTTAAATTATAGCTACAGGGTTGAGGGGGTTTTGGAGGAAGGTTTGTGCACACAAGCAGAACAGAAGAAGCCCTCATATACCCTCAAGCTGTTCTTATAGAAGGTAGTGAACTGCCCAGCCTGGGTTCTGGATATTGAACTCTGGTCCATTGGAAGAGCAGCAAGCAATCTTAATCTCTACTCATATATCCAGTCTCAGCATATTTTATTCCTTAAACAATTTTATCTATTAAAACAATAACATGAAGCCTGTTAGAAACATGTTTAAGGGGCTGGAAAGATGGCTCAGAGGTTAAGAGCACCGATTGCTCTTCAAGAGGTCCTGAGTTCAATTCTCAGCACCCACATGGTGGCTTACAACCATCTGTAATGAGATCTGGCAACCTCTTCTGTGTACATAATAAATAAATAAA